AATACCTCCTTTCTCTGCTAGTTGGTGAAAGGAGAGTAGCGAAATTTGCGTGGTCAGACGGAAGAGCAGGCCTGATGGCTCGAGTGTCGCCATGCAAAATAAGGCATCAATTCAATTCAATTCAAAAATACACTTAAACGCACTACACAACCGGACATATCGGGAGCTTAAATCTTGTCCCGCCCGGGGCGCAGCCCCGCTGGGGAACATTCTGACGAATATCACATGTAGATCGGCGCCGGAACTCTTCCTGAATTGGGGATGAAACACCACCACATCCAGAAATAAAATATTCACTACACTGACGGGACGAATGATCGTAGCATATGACATGGCCGAGCACATCAATCAGTCACGGTAAGGTTTGTTGCAAAGACAACGGTATAGGTGTCTTGGAAGGAAAATTCCTTCAATGAAACACACACGCGTTTCAACAATAATATTTAATTACTAGATTGCTACAGTGTAAGCACATTTAGTTTTTTCCCCCACAAACCCTTGCCACACACTCAAGTCTCTTTTCCGCTGATCAAGTCTCTTTTCACATCATGCAGATCTTTTATGGCGGGTCAGATGCACTCGACTGCACCCTCCCGCCCACGCCTCTTCTTCAAATCACTCATCCCTCTGCCAATCGCAGCTCTCTGCTTGCCTGCTGCCCCTCTCCGCGCCGCCCCCACTCCGTCGCCGTGACCTTCAAACCGGCCGCAGGCAGCCAACTGTTACAGGCCGCCAACTTCAGCGTGAGGTGCAACCCCTCAACGGTAATGCTGGCTCTGAACGAACTAAGCGACGGAAGAAATGCGATGCGCCATTTTGGCCCACTGCGCGTGTCCGCCGGCGGGCACCTGCCTCCCACGCGCCGCCACCGCCGCCGCCGCTCCATCCATCAAGCCATCGACAGCCGCCCAGCGCGCCCCGCCCTTTACATAGCCGCCGACGCGAGGCGCCGCGAGGCTTCTGCGCCCGAATTAGTTGCCGCGCGCGATACGTCACCCCCGCCCGCCGCCAGGGGCGCTGCGACGCCACGCCTCAAGCAGCATCGGAAGATGGAGACGTGACGAGGCGGGTAGTTCGATAGACAGGTGAAGCAGAGGCCAGGAATTAATGTCGATATAAAAATATTGAATGTTTGTGTAATGAAGAAATTGGAGTATGAAGATGATTGTCACTTTTCTGTGAAAAAAATCTTCAAATTTCGTGTTTATAGTAATGCTTAAACGGCATTTTCTTAAAAACGGCTCGAAATTTTTAAACGAAAATTTCCATAAAGAAGATGTTTTACTCCCATGCTAATTTTTATAAGTAATATAACGCTTATTCTATTAAGAAACCGAAATATTGAGAATTTATTTTAAAAAAGTACTTTAACTAGTAAAAAAGTCTGTAGTATCACTAGTTATTATTTGTATTTTACAGAAACGACTCGTGGTTCCGGAAAGATTAATCAAAACTGTGTAAAGCGAGAAGCTAAAGAAACCTTTTGAAATATTGAAATTTCTATTGGGAAAATTAAAATAATAATCTTCAAGAAGTTAGATATTGTATTTAAGTTGAAATGCTTTATAAAAATTATGAAAAAATGGTACGAAAAAGTAAATTTTTGAAACAGAGATAGAACATAAGAATACTTACACAATTTGTCAAAGAGTAGACCGGAAAGAGTACGACTGGTAACCATACATAATATAAAAATTTAAGTATGATGCAATTTTTGTAATTGTTCGCACTCAGGGAATCATTTACAAACTAATACTAATCATGACAATTACTTTATGAGTAAGCAAGAATATTTCATAAATATTTCGTGATTTGTTTGAAGGAATGAAAAAAAACACTCAGTTCTGTTAAACGTGTAAGGTTGAGGTTCGCTGCTCTTAGCTGCCACACTGAAGTGATATCACACTCTCTCGAGGCCACGACATTTCTAGGTTGCATATGTAATTCCCAGCCCACTATCCCACGCTGTTTTCAGAGAACCTCAACTGCCGAACGAACGTTCAGAAACAGGCCACAAGAATTCTCCTCTTTTGCTGATATAACAATGTGTCATGACACCGGGCCACAATTGTTTGCAATTGGTTGAAGAACATTCTGGGCAATTCGAGCGAGTGATTTGGCCACCCATGTCTCCGAGATGAATACTATCGAACATTCATGAGGCATACTCGAAAAGCCAGTTCGTGCACAAAATCTTGCACCCGCAACTCCATCGCAATTATGGGGAATAGGGACAGCATAGCTCAATATTTCTGCAGGGTACGTCCACTAACTTGTTGAGTACATGACACGTCGAGTTGCTGAACTTCGGCTGGTCAAAAAGAGAACCGGCACGACATTAGAAGATATCCCATGACTTTTTTCACTACAGTGTAATTTCACTGAAGAGAAATCATGCAAGTTTGCTACAGTGAGAAGTAATATTCGCACAAGATTTTCGCACTCAACGTCTGTTCAAACGCGTGCGTTGGAGGGCACGTAATCAGCTATCGAGAACACATATATTGTGTAAACACTTAACAGTTTCGCTCCGTAAAAGTCACAGGTCGGCCTGTTAGTCCCACCCCTCCAAAACGGAACGACAATTCAGTTATCATTTGTTTCACGGCTCCCACGCCTCATTGCCTATCTACAGAGACGTCGAATTGTCACATATGTGTATGAAGGGGGTTGAAATCTGCAGCAAACCTGTATATTATTATATTTAATTACATTACGACTGTAACTATTCTATTTGTATCTTTCAGTCAAAATACTACGATGTGCAAACCTTGAAATGTGCAAAATAATGCTTGTAAATAACTCGTTGATACGTTTTATTTTAAAATAATTACATGCTATACATTTTATTATATCTTTACTCAATTTATTAATTGCGTATCAGGTTGGTCCCAAGAACCATTTATTAAATGATCAATCCGAGATTTTAAAGGGCTGATTTTAATTAGTCTGACATGTGTGTGTGTATCCGACTAATAAAATCAGTCCATTTGCACTTGAACTCAAGTACGATTCCGAAAAAAAATGATACCTTAAATTACGAAAGATGTTTTCATCAATAATAAATTCAAATCAAGAAATGCTAGCAGAAAGTTAAAGAATGGAAAGAAGACGCGACAATTGGAATTTTGGATGATCGTGAAATCAATATTTTTAGTTATTTAGTAAAACGCAACAAAATATCAGTGTTTTATCTTCTAAAACTTCAACCATTGCATTCAAGAAACACTTTCTTTGTTCGTTGTCGGTTTTTTGTGCATTTAAATTTCGTTCTTTTTCGAACATGACATTCAACCAAGTAGTTACCTTGTTTACCAACCAGGTTCAAATATTTATTAAAAAATTATTTTACTTAATTCACGGAGCACTGATTTCTAAAGTTGTTCGTATCAACGCAAGAAAATCCTTTTTTCTAATACCAACTGATTTAATAAAAACTCATGTTTAAATAGACTGTGTAACCTTAATCGTTTCAAATAAATAAGGAACGATTTGTTTACATGACAGACGTAATCTCATCACATTGCGTAACTGATATCACATCCACAGACTAATGCAGCCTGGTATTGTGGCCAGTCAATGTCCAAAACCCATGGAACGGTCAATGCTTATTAATATATTACAATTAAGTTTAATAAATTGTTCATTGGTTCACTCCTTCGAGACTTTTAACACTAGTGGTACAAGTAATATAAACAAAATAAACAAGGCACACTATACAATCGTGGATCAATTTCAAATATAAATCAAGGTCCTGATAATTTATTTACAGAAACTTAAACTGACATTTTAGGGTCAGAGAATAGAACACTAAAAATAATAATTCCAGTGTCAATGTTTCGCTAATAATATACAATGTTTATGCGTGTACACCATCAGAATTAGTGTTTGAGACTACGTTACACATTGCTTAAAAGTTTGTAAGAAAGATATCCAAAACAACGTTTTAGAGCAGGAGCCGAACGTCTACCTGCTTCAACTGTAGTTTCCAGGTGGCTGGTTTGCACATTTTCCATGCGACCCAGTCCGCCCGGCTGCAAATACCGCGGCCTCTCCGTCCCGATCTTTGAGGCAGCTCAAGTAGCACCGAGAGCTCGTCGCTCGCGACAAGAGCAGAGGGCGCGCTCGTAAATATTTATGAGAAATGCTCAGCCCTCTCCTCAGCTTCTTACGGTCTGTTAGCTGTGTACACGTAGTCTAATTAAGAGTTCTCGTAGTTAATTGGGACACGAAAAATATTTTCGCACAAAGGGAACGGACGCGAGGATCTCTAGAGGCAAGAGACTCAAACGCGGCGCCAGATTTCTTTGAGTCGCGCCGAAGTGGGTCGCTGATTTAGCGTCTTCGAGCCCTTTCCAGGGCACTCGAGGCCGCTCGACTCCACGTCGACCTCTCGACCTGCTCTTCGTCGTCGATTTCGGGCAGGCCTCTGCTCCGCGCCGCGCCGCGCCGCGCCGCGCCGCGCCAAGCCCCGCCCACCGCGCCGTGGTATCTGCGCTGCTTCGCTGTCCTGTCGTACATACCTGACGGCAAATGGAACCGCCGCGTCTATTTCGTAGACTATGAATTTTTGCATTTGATGTAAATTAGGTCAGACTATTTAGTAGATCATTTTTTGGGGGAATCAAAAAAACAGGATGTCCTGGGAGGAAGCATCGAACCTTCACAAATACATCTTACGACAATTGTAAGCATATTTTGTCGAATAAACTCTTTAGATATTCCGAATGGCTGAGCCGCCATAAGCAGTCAAAAGTTCGTTTGAAAAAATACTTTCTATGCAAAATTTATATTGCAGAAACACATAAACACTCCAGAAACTTGTATATTTTATTCCAAAAACGATGACGAAGTAATGGCAGGAAATACTTCATACTGCTTCGGACAATTGTAGCACATACGTCAACCACACGTAATGATAGTTCATTAGTGTTGAATGAATTGTCATCAGTGACTTACAATATCGTGAATATCTCTTCGGTGCCCAATCACTATTTTTTTATTTTACATATCAGTTACGTATGTCATGTCGGGGCCACGCTTTGTGGACATTGCATTATTTCTCAACTGTCTCCCTTTTCCCATTAAGTTTTCCCACACAATATGTGAAACCATCCAATCTTGTTTTTTAAATGGATAGAAATTCATATCCATTTTTTGATAATATTTCAGGTATTATTACGCGAACCCAGAAAATAAGTATCCTTAGTTGAGAAAAACCAACAATTTCATGGGAAAACTTTATTGCCACAGATACAGTGCATGTTCCACTATTTTGTCACTAATTTATCATAAATATGGATAGCAATTGAGCAAACCAGACCAATATTATAAATTGAAATCCATTCAAATTACCAGTAAATGTTCCCTGATTGTCTCATTCGCTTTGTTCAAACAAGTGAAACTATTGACACAACATGAGTAAATAAAAATAACATTCATAGTTCAAAGCATGCTATAATATATCATCATACCGTTTCATACGATTTTGCCGCTGGAATGAAATGCGATCACTTCATCTACCTACTTTAAAAGACACCTAATAAATAGTTTTCTGCAGCTGTTAAACGGCTGAAGACACCACCAGGGGTCTCCAAGTGTGTGTAGAAATTCTAAAAATGCTTCTTAAACAGGAATAAACATGAAGTCAATTTCAAATTTTTGAAGATGTATTTCCTGGAGAGAAAAAGCATAATAATATATGTGTCTGGATCAGTGGTGAAACACCATCTTACCATTTCCACAGCCTGTATCTGCACCCCTTTTGTCTTCCCTGTATGTCTCTTCTATGAAACGATTAACAGAATGTAATGTATATTACTAGCCGAGCACGGGAGCAGTGTAATGTTTCAAAAAAAATATGAATAGGATTTTATTGTTAACAAATAATAAACTCATCACGCAATTCCGCGTTTGACCCTTAAAAGCTATTTTTTTTGTTCAAAATGATTCATGTCCTTAACTTTTCAGTACAATACAGAAAAATAAGAAAGAAAAAGACCACATTGTTTGTTGTGCAGCTCAATTTGCACATTGGGCATAAGCACAAAAAGTAAAAATACACAGGAATAAAATATACTTGCAGAAAGAAATGATCATCAAACTATAGTTTGTGATATGTTGTAATACTTTGAATCTATTGACGTGCTTAGGCTCGACAATGTCAAAATTTATGAATGTATAAAAAAAGCAAATGTTAACAAAATTCATTCATACTAAATTTTTATTGATATCAATTATGGTGTAAGAAAATATTTTTATTTACAAACAATCCATTTGCGGTGTTTTCTCGGGTGTAATTTTTTTTTTGTAGTATTTAATACACTACATTAATTTCCTCTGTACACAATAGCCATTGACCTTTTTCATTAACTAAAAATTACATAAATTGCAAATCTTAATGTTATCGTACTTTCTGTGTAATTAAAATGTAATTATGACAAACTTGTTACTTGGGTTTTTTTGGTACCCCAGATAGCTTGTGAGTAATAACTTAGAGAATTCGTACCTTTAACTTTGAATCAATGTAAAAGAAACCAGTAACTCATTAATATAAAATTCATTTTCCATATATCTGCTATTACAAACAATTAAATAATAATTAAAAACTTTAAGAAGCGATTAATAGAGGCGATTTTTGTCGAAGAAATTTTTAATACTACTACTCAGGTTTTTATGTGGGCAATAATATAAAGAATATCCCACTTCCCCTAAAACCAGCAAAATAAGATTTTTGCAAAACTTCTCAAGATTTCATTTCAAAAAAGATTCAATTACAAGCGCACGGAAAATGTATGTTGAGAAGTTAAATATTTTTTCACACAGAAGATAAAAACATTGATGTAAAAAATCAACTAACAGGACGACAGTCTACACTGTAGACTTCAAGAAACTCCAATATATTCTACAAATCTCCACTAATTATGAAGGATTTATTTTCTCACCCATCTGTGACAAAGAAGCGTAGCACATGACTAGGTTTCTACCACTTGAAGAGTCTCCCACCGCAAACTCCTGAAAGCAGCAGAAAATAAATTGACTTTATAACTCCGCATATTTTCTTTAAGCTCCAGATTTATTGCCCAAATATCTGCTACCATAACAAAAAGTAAACGTTAAATAACAAGATGCAGCTGGATACAAGTAAGACAACTGAGTGACTATGTTTGACGACATACAGTATCCAACACTCCAATACTCCAGTATTCCACATATCAAGCAGAATGAAAAAGCAAAATAATATTTTATCTATCGCAGATCAATTAAGTTAATTGCATTAGCAGTGAAACTTAATGTTCAGCAACAAAACATTTTAAGTGAGAGCGTAGGCTTCCGCGGCCGGAGTCAGTATTTTCTAGGCTGTCCGGGTGACGCCGCGTCCATGGCGAAGGGGCCGACGTTTCGGTCGGCATTCTGCGACCTTCCTCCCTCATTACACCCTGAGGAAGGTCGCAGAATGGCGACCGAAACGTCGACAACTTCGCCATGGACGCGGCGTCACCCAGACAGCCTAGTAAAAACCTGTTTTGTTTCATAAAAAATGCTTTCACCAAATGACAACTAATTGACCGACAGTTTCCACGCCAGTAACGAAAAAACCTTGTATTCAAAGTATCACCACTTATTAAGAGTTTATTTTCTCAGCCGTCAAAGTCAGTGAGAAGCGTGGCGCACGCAGCGACAATCGGAAGGCGAGGCAGAGAACGAAGGAGAACGTGGCAGAAAGGAAGGCAGAGAGCGGCGAATAGCGAGGCAGAGAGCGCTGGGGAGCGATGCAAAGAGCAGCGGACAGCAAGGCAGATAGCACCGGAGGGCGAGAGAGAGCGTCGGAGAGCGAGGCAGAGAGGGGTGGAGAGTGAGGCAGAGAACGCTATAGAGCGAGTCAGAGAGCACTGGTGAATGAGGCAGATAGCAGAGGACAGTGAGGCAGAGTGCAACGGAGGGAGAGGCAGAGAGCAGTGGAGGGCGAGGCAGAAAGCGAAGGAGAACGAGGCAGAAAGGAAGGCAGAGAGCGGCGGAGAGAGCGACAGCGTCAGAGAGCAAGGCAATAAGCACCAGAGAGAGCGTCGGAGAGCGAGGCAGAGAGCGCCAGAGAGCGAGGCAGAGAGCGCCAGAGAGCGAGGCAGAGAGCGCCAGAGAGCGACGCAGAGAGCGCCAGAGAGCGAGGCAGAGTGCGTCACAGAGCGAAGGAGAGAGTAACAGAGAGCGAGGCATAGAGCGCCACAGAACGAGGCAGAGAGCGCCGCAGAGCGAGACAGAGAGCGCCCCGCGTAGGCGAAGCCAAGAGGAGCCGAAGCGGCGAAATTCGAGCGCGGGGGAAGCGCGCGTTCAAGATTAAGGGCGCGCGGACGCGCGAGAAGATGCTGCAGAATGAATAGAGATAAATGCAGAGCATAAAGAAAGAGCTCCCGCCGACGAGAGGCGCTCTTCGGAACAAGAAGGATGGTTATTGGTTGCTGATTTCCATTTTCATCGCTTCCCGAAAATAAATGACATGCGAATAAATATGGCCTGCTGAAATTCCGGCGGCGGTGGCGACGATGGTGGCTGAGGCGGCGACGGCAATCGGGGGAGGTGGGAGAGGTAATAGTGGCGGTGAGTGCGACGGCTTGGAGATTAGACTAGGTTCTTGTGCAACTCCTGGGCAGAAGATTGCAAGAGGAATAAATCTCGGCAGGAGTGAGCAAATTCCAGGAGAGAAGCTGACAAGGAAAATAATAACACAGCCGGTGAATGCGAAGAGAAATAATACTGTGTAGCAAATAAACTGTTATCAGTGGGAATAAGACAGGAAGAACAATCATCACGAAAGTTGAAAATGAACATTCAGCCTGTAAGGCAGTGCTGCAGTAGTACGAATGAATTACTGTGAGCGTCTTTTGTTTGTTTGTGGGGTTGTCGGTTTGTAGTAATCAACACACTAAATATAAACTAAAACATTTCACATTTTTCTCTGATTATTTTGGAGATTTTGAGAGGTTTATGTGGTAATAGTAACTTTATTAGCAAGACAGTTATATCTACATTTATTTTATTTTTATTTTATGTTTTGCTTCTCTACGACCACGCAAACGCGCCACTTGTGCACGTACATTTTTTGGGGGGAGGGGGGCTATCAGCACTTTCATGTCGAATTCATTTCTACACCCCAGGGTTGTTATACCTGGGGAAATGATGTATGATATGATGGTGATGATGATGATGATGATAAAGGGTGAAGGGACAATCACAAACATACAGACCGAAATACACAACCATGCCCGAGGCAGACTCGAACCCGCAATCCTTCCATCGAGATCGACACGGCACCACAGCCTTAGTGATTTCGGCTATCCGAATCGTTATCTCTATTATTATATACAAAACTATCTATATTTCAATTTGTAGATATCTTTATAAAGAGAAAATTTGAGGAAGCGCAAGTATTAGCAATTTAGGAAAGAAAAACATACGTAGAGATATGAAAATTGGCTAGAGGTGTCTGAAATATAGCCAAAAGTTAAATGTACTCTAAAAAGATAGAGAATGTATGCTTGTGTAATATGGAGACCTAGAAGACATTCTAAGAAAGAAGAAGAACGCTTCTATCGATGCTTGCAGTAAGTAATACGGCTTAGAAATAGCGGAGTCAGGACGAAAGAGAGTAAGATAAGGCAAATGGTGGATGTGTGGGTGTGGAGTATGTAGTGCACTGAGTGCAATGTAGTCCCATGTAAAGGATGCGGTGAAGTTGGCGGAGGAAGTTACCTCGGAAGTAATACATACAATGGATGTAGTAAGCATAGTCAACATAGTAGAAGTCGTATCCAGGAAACTAGTTGATGCAGCACCTGGGGAAAAGTTGTGTGCGTATTGGATGAAATGAATGTAGTGCTTAGACAAATGTGGTAGAGACCGTGGTTAATGACCAATGGAGATGTAAATGACGTCGGTAGGCGTCCTATGAGAAGCACGCGACGTTGGGTGCGGTGGAGGTAATGAGACGATGTAGTAGATTTCTTGAAAGTAGTTGATGCATCACCCGGTGCATAGTGGTGTGCGTGAAAAATGGTGTGCATAGAGAATGTATTGCCGAGGTGAATGGGTTCCAAGTAGCCGGCTCTGGAGTGGGCCTGTTCCGCCTGGAGTTTATGCGCGGCATCACCAGCGGCGCCGGTCTCGCACCTGGTGATGGCGGCGCTGCCGTTCCCACGGCGACGGACAGCATGCGACGCGGCACGCGAGTCTTTTGTGGAGGCCAGGTCTCTCACACCTCGCGCCCGGTCCTCGCGCGACTGGCGCCTGTGCGCGCGAGCCAGTGGGGCGGGCTGTTCGCTTACTTTCGCCGTTTTGCGACGACCGTGCAATAGACCGATCTCGGGGGTGCCGCGGCGCACGCGTTTGGGTGCGCCGTGCACCGCAGGCTACCACTCACGCGGGCTCGTGGCAACCCTCCCGGCGCTCCGGGGTGGAGCCTCGGTCGCGCATTCCCGAGTTATTTTGCACGCGCGATTTTTACTCCCCTGACTCCTCTTTTCAGGTAGGAGAGTATGGGTTGCCTTGTATTTGTTTCTATCTCAGCGTCTTCTTGTTTTCCGCAGATACCCCTTCCTCACACTATTCCCTTGCTCTTGCGTGTGTTTGCCACGCATTATATAACACCCCAGATTGACGCATCTGAGAGCGAGCATGTCACCATACAATTCTCGCGCGTCTAGCGTACTAAGTGAGCAAATTTCCAGGAGAGAAGCTGACAAAGACGCGGTGGCTCTTGGCAGAGACACTGATAATGGTATCTGACCCTATCGTGCCTTTTTGCCGCTTTCTCTTTTAAGTTTGCCCCACTAACTAGCCGGCCGCGGTTTAGAACTTGCGAAGCGCGTTTCTTTTAGTTAGTTATCATACATGACTCTACGCTTGTGCGCATGCCATTTTTCCTGTCGTCCTTCTCTGCTCCATTTGCTGCGCTGCCAAGTATAAATTCGTCACAAATACCGTAGGTTCTGTGCCATACTTATCTCTGCCCGGTCTTCGGCCCGTCGGCCGGCTGTACACCTCGGTCGTCTGGTCGCCAAGTGGAATGGTACGTCGGGGCGGAGTGGCTATAGGGCCATGCGAGTCTACAATCATTTTTCGCACCGACGAGGTTTTCCGGTCCCAAACCGCGGGTGCCGACATATAGTGTGAATGGATCAGACTGTTGCTCCAGTCCCTGGGTGGTTTAGGTTTCCCCCCTGTTTCCGCATAGCTGTTCCTTCGGGCCTTACTTTCCTCGTCGGCGCCTATCGCCTCAACTACCGAACGCCGCCCTGTTTGTTCCATCTGTTCGTGCACACGGGTCGACGTGAGTAATGCTTGTTTTGTTGCACTATCCTGCGCTTCGCTTATGGCTACAGCACTCAGTGCACACAATCGTCATCACGTTCATGCAGTTTCCATCACCGTACTTTCTTGTTGTGCATCCCGCCTCTTGCTGCATTGCATCCTACCCCGACTATTAACTTCTGTTCACTATGCGCTGCTCGTCCCTGCTGCATATGCCCCTTTTCACGTTCCTGAGGAGTGGACTTGTTCCCCTATCTTGGGCTATCACCTTTGGTTGACGTTGATTCACGATGAGCGACGCACCCTAAGGCATTTTGGCTTGCACGGTCCCCCACCGCTCGTTCGTTACCGCAGGCCCACGACTGGAATGACTTTTTCACCCCGCCACTTCCATTACAACACTCCACAGCCACCCCCCACCCCCTGTGGGTTTGTCGGTGTTGTTCTTGATCCAACACACCACCCAACTGCTAAATACCTCAAACTTAAAACAATTTCAACAATTTTCTTCCACGCCCACCCCCTCCTTTTTAGCGCCCCCCCGTCCCCGTACTTATTCCTTCCCGGTTATCCTCGTTAGCAGCTCCCTGCGACTTAATTCACCGTTCTGCCTCTATATTTGGTTGTCTCACAGCAGCTCACCTACTTCTGCAGGCTCGCCCTAACGATGAATGGTCTTCTCTTTAAGAATTTGTTATTTGGTAATCACCGCTGTCACGTCGCATCTTATACACCAATCGCTTCCATTTTCTTATATACAATTACTTCTGTGCCTGTAGCTTCCGACACTCAAGATCCAGGTAACATTGTCAAAGTCTCTTCATTCGCCATTCAAGCACTACAGTCGTCACGTCGTGCAATTCTACATGGTTTGATAATCCATCCGCGCGCAATGTTCTGACTGGCACAATGCGGAAAGAGGTATCTAACTGTTTTTTTAGACTCGTTAGGAAGCAGAATGTGGACTTGGCTGAATTTTTTCTGGCTTGATCAGCAATACGCTAGAAACATCAAAATACAAGGAAAGAAATGGCGTCGGAATTGCAAAGTAGCTTTTTGATTGGTGATTATGCGGTAAATTTGTGGATTAAATTTTTATCGAAGTCGAAGTTTGGCCAGCGTCGCCCAGAGAAAATCGGTACAAAGATGTGTGGGTCCATTTTACCACCAAATCCAAACCAGTTACTGAGATGAGTGTGTTTTTATTAATCAGGGTGGGCAATTCTTTTTGGAAACAAATTTCCCTGCTTTTTTTCGATATACTCCGAGCATATTTATTTTCTAATAATATTTGTTATTTATATACTTAAAGAAAACTTATAAACAATCCAGATATAATTGGTCCAGATTCTCTTATTTCGCCAGGGGGGAGGCGGCAGGGGGGGGCCCTGTGATAAGTTATGACAAATACAATATTTTCTCACAATATATAAAATGGAAAAACGCTCAACTAATTCATTAAGGAATGATATCTATTATAAAAGAAATTATTTCCGACTTTACCAATTCTTCGAAGCCCAATTTTCTAATTTTTTCTCTGATTTCCCCAGAGCAAATAAAATTCTCATTTGTTTTCAGTTTTCCAGTTTTCAGAAGAGGAATAAGTTAATTTATTATTATCGATCATTCATTGATTATTGCGTACTTACAAAGTCGTAGGCAGAGACAAGTTTTTTTAAATACGAAAATAATTCCAAATGTTTTAAATACTATTAAAATATGAACGCAATTATGGTCGTATAGGATTGGGCGAAATAAGCCGGTTGCCCCTAACGATATATATGATCAGATAGGTGTTGAATGTATCAAGTATTAGCTTATTTTCTAGTAGGGATAGAGTTAATCTAATATTCAAAATCATTTTAGATGTTGATAGTGTGCGCACATAGAGTTTTACATTTGAGGTCGATTAATCGAATAAATGGATTGGATATTACAGAAGCAACAAGACATTTTTTAATAAAACAATTGTTTTTGTTAGAGTTTGAAGGCAAACGTGAACGCGTATTTTTCCCAGACAGCAATTTTTTCACCATTAATAATATGCAATATTCGAATAGTCCAGGGAAAACATAAAACACAAATAAGAAAAGGGTTTACCGAGATTTGCTTTTGCTCTGAGTAAATATGCATTGTAGTATACTAGAAGTATTAGTATGGAAATTTAATAATAGGTTCCATTTATCCATGCACATACAACTTATGTTGAACGGAAGGTAATAAATTAGGATATTGTTCTAATCCACGAAAGAGAATCGCTGTTAAGATATAAGCATATTTCGTTTGTTATTCAACTCAAAACCGATTGAGAACACCAGCAGAAGAGGGAAAAGTGCGTTATGTTCGACCGAGGGAAAAGTGCGTTATTATGTGCTGGATATTATAAGAATTTCCCTACAGCTATTTATGAGGTTAGTGTCTTGTTGAAAAGCGTACTTTAAGTCATGATGATTCGCGGCTTTCTCAATCTCGGCGTCTCGTCGAAAATGTATGGGTTTGAGATGAACACGCTTTACGAGAAACACGTAGGAACGGCTAAGTTTCAACTTCATGGTATAGATTATCACATTAGAAACCGTTAATACCTGTTGTTTGTTGACGTTCTGTTGATAAGCGTGTAGTAATTCAAAATAACAGTTCCAATGGGAAACACGTTTTAGGAGTTAACGCCCCCACACAGACAATTGCCGTAGTGCAAAATATTATACTCGTTCTTACACCCACACCAATTTGGTAGAATCTTATTATTAATATTTCATTGTTGTTTCTTCATATTATTTTTTTATTAATATTTTTTGCTTCATTCATGCCTAACGAAAATTATTTATAAGTTACATCTTACTTTTTAATACATTATACTTGCATTTCTTGAAGATGGCGAATTTTTAGTTTATAAGTTGTGAACTTTCGAGTAGGTTTTATGGCTGCTGAGGCGGGTACTTTCAATGCTGAATATTTAATTTTTTATACTAACACAAGTTTGTAATGACAAAAAAAAACACATAAACACTGCTGTCTGGCTCATCTATTCTCAAAACGTATGTTTTGAGAAAAAGTATCATAGAAATCTATTTTTCAAAGGTGTTTTCTCAAACTTTAATAACATGGTTATAATTATCGTTAAATGGTAAATCATCTCTTATAATCACGTTTCTGAACGCGGCAGTTTACCTCATTCAGGCGTTTTACATAGTAATTTAAAATATCTTCAATTTTTTTCCGTAATTCTTTCCAAAATATTCTAAGAAATATTTAGATACGAAGAGTGAAATTGTTTAATGCTGCTAAGAGCAAATAATGTGAATTTTCACAGTTATAACGACTTACGTCCCTAAAAATGCTTTTTAAGTGATCCCTCACGCACCACACCAGGTTCTTATCTATAGAACTTTCCCAGGTTCGCCAAAGAAATTGCCAGTTTTCCCCATCATATTAGAGTCATGTAGAATGTCCATTCATACGAAGGAAGACATTAGAAAAGGAAATTTAATTTCAAGTATATGTGATAGATTATTTACTTTATTGATAATGATTAATTAGTGGGGAGCAATAGTAAAACACCTCAAACTGGTAAATTTGTGGATTTAGACTATAAAAACAAAGTAAGAATAGTTAATCTAAATAAATGTTTATTCTACAACAATATCAATCTTGCATTATTAATTTGCTTATTATTTTGATTTTTGATTAAGTGTGAGAGGTCATTGTCATGTAATTATTTATATTCACAGTTAACCTTTCTAAAATTATAATTATATTAGTAACTATTGTTCTAGTAATAGTACAAATATTTTTTCGACCATATTGATAGGTAATTAATGTTACAAAAAGATTAATATGCTCTCGAGTTAGAATCTAGCCACAGGTTTGAGAGAATCATATAAAATTTTGAGAGAAAATGGTAAAATAGCTCAACAGTATTAGAGATTAAGGTGAAAGTATTCTCTAGGAGCTCTAGTAATATGCATTGTTAGATGAACATAAAAGCATTTATGCTTTACTTTATGTGACCTTATGCTATACTAAATATACGGGCTCCACTGCTTTAGAGTACAGAAGCGAGCGTATACACAGAGATCATGGCTCACGCTGGCTTGCGTCAGATTTTATAGGCACTTTATTGCGCTGAAGATTGAAGAATCAGCGACATTGAGTGGGTCGGGACGCAAGAGCAGGGATACATGAGAGGCGGCGACTCATGTACCACGAGAGAGGTTTCGGGCATGGGCAGTCCTGCTAGTTTGCTGCACACTGCATGAACGCTCGAGCGCTTCCACAGCACAGATTCGTGCGTGGTCACAGATTCAACAGGACGACAGAGACGCGACGGCACGCTAAAGGAGCCGAGGTGAAGCGAAGCACAGCTACTGGGCGTGGTAGGTTTGTGTGAGGTGTTGGGGTCTCATGGCAGTAGGGATCTCTACGTCTCTCGGGAGATGGTCACTGGGGAATCGGGAGAGTGGATAAGTGTAAGTACACTGTGAAGTTGGTCTGAGCAAAGGGGCGGCAGTTAAATCCCGTGGAAGTAATACATGACCAATTGGGAGTCAGCGCTTCCAACACGAATTTCAGTGCAAGAGCGGACACTAATTTTCTAAATTATAGAGAGTAGGTTCTCTGACTCGTTTGAAGACGCGGGGGAACTAGTTTGATGCAGCCTAGGGTGGAAAAAGTTGTAGCTGCTGCTCTGCGAGGGAAGAAGGAAAGAGAGCTGATGTATTTGCAATGTAAGTGCTTGGAAGGATGTAGGTTCATCAGCAAATGTTGCGGAGGGTCAGGGCATCAGCGCGCGCTTAATGGAGCGAGCAGGGATGGAACAACAACATCGAGTGGATTTGTAGCTAAGATAGACATAACAGAATAGAGCTTCAGAGATGCTTAAACTTTGTTTTTATTTCATGAAGGTTCATTTGGGGGTTTTCACTGTGTTGCAGATTCCCTCTATGTGAGGCAACAGATCTTATTCAGACCTCTTCTACTCGCATTTTATCGGTGGA